AGAAAAACGTCTGATCCTGAAAACATTTCAAACAAGAAGAATACTAGAACAAATTACAGTCCTCAACAAGTCCGATCATTAGAAAAAATATTTTTGGATACGCCATACCCAGAGCCTGAAGTAATGGAACAGTTGTCTCGAGATCTGGATATTCCCGAGAAAAACCTGAAGGTATTTTTCTTTTTAGTTCCTTCTAAGCCAAATTGCAAACACAATTTTCATTCGACATCCACTGTAATATATTTGACAGGTTTCTACATCTAAAAATAAATACAATTCAGTCTTGATATTAATGTTTTTGATTTTATTTCAGATTTGGTTTCAAAACAAGCGTGCCAGATGGAGGAAGCGAGTCCGTGACAACAAACCCGCTTTTCCACCAATGAATCCAAGCTACATTCCACCAGTTGCGGCAAACATTCCACAATATAATATGATGTCTCCTTCAGCATTGATGTCCCAAGTAATACCATCGTCAGCTGCTTCCCGACCAGTTTATAATATACCATCTTCCATCCAAGCACCATCCAACAATACCACATTTCAAAGAACGATGTCTTTTCCAACATACGTCAACTCGTACATGTATCCTCAGTTCAGATGATGACCTAATCATATTGTTTATTGTTAATGATATTGTTTTAATATTGTTGTTGTATTGTTATTTCAAGATTATCTGTTTATTTATTGATAAATAAAATATTATTAAGATATCCTACAGTCACATTTCGTCTTTTAACATCTTAAAAGTTACTTGAATATTTATTTGTATAGGCAACGAGCAAAACATAATGACTCAAAGAGCTTTCCAAAGGCAATTGGTAAAATCGGCTTTTTTGAACTATATATGCTGAGGATTACAATTGTGAGTTCACTGTGCTCTGTTTGAAGTTAAAATTATATTGTACTTTCGTATCTTGGGAATGTTTTGAAACGCAAAATACTACAAATATTAGCTGTTTTTAGACAGGAAAGACGGTCAACAAGACAGAAGTGGTATTCAACACACATTTAGCGAAGCATTTTCAATTATGTAGACTAATAAAACCCATCTGAAGTTAGGACTGCCCAAGAGTGAATTTATATTGTCTAATGGTGTTCCTTGATTGAAGGGCACCTTTAGGGAAGGTTGCCAAAAAAATGGGGCACACATTGTTTTGTTACAGAATTGTATCCTGGAAAATTATTCAGTTTCTGTCTTTTTTGAACTTCCTTCGACCTTCATTGTGCTGATCTACATATCGTCCTGGCACGTTCAAATTGGTTATTTTTAGTACGATACACAGCACATGCATGCAGGTGACTGTACAGATCAAGATAATCGATGAACAAGCCGGAACTTAGACGATAATAAACCGAGAAACGACGTGTAACCATATAAAAATGATAGTAGAAATAAATTAAATATGAATTATCTTCAATTCTTTATTTCTCGTCGTGATACCAAACCCCCAAAAATTATAAATAATATATACATAGATTACTGATATTTCTTATAAATAATTGATATAAGACCTCAAATGGACCAAAACGTTGATGTTAACCTGGTTGCTCATATACTGTAATAAATAATCAACGTGAAATGAGTAAAACAACACGAGTCGTTATTGTTAATTACATCACTAATCAACTGTCAATTCCATCAGTGATTGAATTGTATTAATCTAATTAACTCGATTAAATATGCCAGCATTAGTCGAGTTGTCACATTACTGACAGACAGGAGTTGCTCTGTATTTGTCTAAAAGTGTATTAAATGTTGTCCTGTGTTGGAAAATGTACATTAAAAGTTAATGATCTATTAGTTTCTTTACATTTAAATTATACTCTAGTTTTAAAATGATATCTCCAGTAAATTATACGGTAAGTCAGTTGGAAATCTGAATGTAAATTGTATGAGTTGATGGTTAGATTTTATATTGATAACAGAGAGGAACATATCAGTTTAATATGATAATATTTCAAGCTTTAAAAACTTCATTTCTATTTTCAGGTATCTTTATCGGATCAACAAGTTGAAAATGTAAGTCAGAAGACTGGTTTAATGCCCTACCAGAACCAAATTCAGTATACAACCGACTCTACAAGACATTACCAACCCACATTTACTTCTTCATTTTATCAACCATGGGACGTTTACAGCTCGCCACAACTGGAAACTAGCTTAATCAGACAATCTTCTGCCATCGCGGAATCTCCAACATCTGGTAATGATAGCATCGAGTCTCATTTGGATCTGGATTCAAGCCCGCCATCTTCAAGATGTTTAACCTCCCCTTCAACAACTCCACCTCTAATTACTGATAGCGACAGTGGAAATTCTTCTGGATTTGTATCTGATTCTAGTCCCCAACCTGCCACCTCGTCATCACCTGTTGTTCTACCACCCATTTCCACCACAGACCA